TCGCGAACGCTCGCTCGATTACAAGCACACGGCACTTACAGTCTGCCGCGCATGCGACGTCACGTGGTTCCGGAGTCCGTCTCCCCTTCTGCGTCTGGGGCTGAAATCGGTCGGGGTAAAGTCAAAATTCGTCGTCAAAAGGTGGCTTATTATTCTCACCGACGGGGACACTGGATTTCAAAATGACATTTGCATGTGACTCTTATGTTAGTTGTAGCCATTGTATCATTATCTGTCTGTTTATCCTATCTATTATATCTATTTCAGTTTTCAATGTTGGTTGAACGAGCCGTAGCACTGTGGAAGCGCCACCGCTACGAGTCCTATGGTCCTAAACTGGGAATAATTTCAGCTCTGATTTCGGTGAGATCATCGCAGACTTTATAAAAGAGTTTATGAGTAATGATGAAGCTCATGGATGAGCAAAGAAAGAATGCAGCGTGACTGAGTTCTAACTATTCATCGAAATCGCCCAAAACGCGAAAGATTTAATTTGCGAAAACCTCTACCATAGTACCCTCGAGCACAGCACTATGTATAAGCCATATACTTGGTCGCTGTATGCGCGAAAATGTTGAAAAACAGTGCCAAGTTTGAAGGCATACTCTGAGCTTACATGCGTTCTGTAAGCGCTTCCTCGTATAGAGTGGTAGCTTAGGCGCCTAGGAGAGGCGTGTTTACTTCTCGCCACTTGAAATAGTGATATAGACGTAGGGTACTCGTGACGCCGCCCGTGCTTCATCCATTAATCCAAAGTATGCTCATGTTTGCATGGCTTGGTGTTCGACACAATGAAGCAAGTGTCTTGAATTCGCTCGACAGTAACACTCTTGATTCTATATAAATAAACGAGATATCATCGAGACCCACAATCTTCTGGTACTGAAACCAGCAGCCCTCACTGAGGAAGTGCGCTTCATGTTACTGCTTTTCCCTATTTGAGCCATTTAGCTCCCCCCCCACCACCAGCGGTTTGTAATCACGGAGCGTGCTAAATTTGAGACATTTGGGACAACTGCGGTGAAAATAGCATTCATCTAATCTATTCGCTCACTGGTAAAGAGGATCGCAGAGTCTCACATTATTCTCAACTGATTGATTTTTTCTTTTTCAGATAATAGCATCGTTAGCTGCAATGACGTGGGCGGTTCAGGATGAAGACTTCAAATCCCATTCCTTTTATTGTTCCGCGATTACCGTGAAAACAGTCGACCGAATAGCGCACCTGTCCTATGCGCTTTGTGTAATAGACGTGGTAACCCTTGTCGGGATTGTCTCCTTGAATATCATCAATAGCTATGCAATGAAGTGGTGAGCGTTTTATTATTTCAAAGCTTAGTGCGTTTGTTGGTACTGATGACGCGAGAAACTCTTTGAAGAATTAGAGCGGTGAAGTTGTGCCGCAAAGTGAAATCGTGTAAAATTTTGACTCGACCTCCACACCCCCGCCTCGGTGCGACCTTTCGCAACCTATCTTTCCTCTCATCAATTTCCCCAAAAGTTTCGCTATTAAAAGGGGATAGACACCTTCGATTGGCCAACTCAGGAATAGTAGTTTCGCCATCCCTCCAACAAATGCAGGATTTTTTGGGGAGAGAGATGTAGACGGCACGAATATTCAAAATCAACAAGGAAAATCTTTTCTCTCGGAAAACGACCCCTTCTAGTGTTTTGCGCAGGGATTCTATGCCCTGTGAGCAGCGAGTCTTCAAGGAAGTCGATTCACGATGCTGTGAAGTGGCTAGACTCGAAGGGGTGGTGGTGATGCTAAGGGCGCGATGATGCTGTGCAGGGACTCTTCAAAGAAATGTAGTGGTGGAGCTGTTGGAAATGGTTGTGCTGCGCAAGGTCTGTGCTGTGGAGTAATTGAATATGATCTCATGGTCTATAAAACAACCGCAGGGGCAACAGTCAAAACATAGAACATTTTTATGGGACAGATATTTATGCAAAGAATGATTTAAGTGCAATTAGTCTTTTGAAGGTACAATAGGTGCAACAATGGAGGAGAAATTGAGGAAGTACCTGATCACGTGCATGGCGCTTACATATATTGTGAGCATCTAGAGAGGGGGAAGGAGCGGGTTGTGAGACCTTAAGCCTTCAACCACTCAGTTCACGAACTATTTCTCTTTGAGCCGATCTGCACTGAGTCTCATACGCATGCCCTAGTCGTCGATGTTCACCTCCCTCCTGATAAAGCAAGGAGTAGGGAGCGCAAGAGGGAGGGAGGCACATAAATTGAGGCTTCCACCTGCCACTGTCGTGGAATCGAGCCTTTAAGTTTCTCATTCTCTCCTTTTCAGGTTCAGAAAGTCACACAGCCTACAGTCATATCAGTTACGTGAAAATGCTAACGTTATTCGAGTGATGCTGCCACTGACCATTTTCCAAACAATGTGCTATTTATTGTTCACGATTGGAAGCCCTCTAATTATCTCACTTCGTACTCACATGTCATTGGTCACATTCCAAACGCTCCTCACCTCGGCTTATGTGAGTGATTAATGAGGCAGCTACAGTTGGCTCTTTCCCTGTCTTTAGTTGCTTTCGGAACCTTACCGAGTCTCCGAAGAGGGCGGAAGAAGAACAGCTGGGACTCATCGCTCACCCAGGGACTGGTTCAACAGTCTCGGTTTCTTCTTTTATTATTTATTTATTCCT